AATCAGAGGGTACTCTATCATGTGACTTGTCATAGACCAATCAGAGGGTACTCTATCATGTGACTTGTCATAGACCAATCAGAGGGTATTCTATCATGTGATTTGTCATAGACCAATCAGAGGGTATTCTATCATAATATACTGTGTTCACTTTAGTGACACTTTTTTCTACTTTTTTCTCTCAATAGTACCTGCATTTTCCATTGGGGTTTTCCTGACAGACTTTGATAAACTGTGTAATGCAGGTACGTATCTTGTTGTTGTAGTTTTCATAGCTACAGGTTCCAACATTTGGAAGTGCAGCTTGAATGCATGCAACGGTACCTTAAGGAAATGAACAAACCAGAGAGTTTTGATTAAAATCAAAATTGTTATTGCAGCGCAACTTCTATAACTGGGGCCACCTCGACAGCAAGAACCAATCAAATTCTAGAATGAAACAATACATTCCGACTTAAGGTAGTGTAAATAGTAAATAGTTGCTATCACTCAACCAGAACATTCATCATACAAAGACAAATACACAAGAGACCATTTTGTGTCTTTTGTTTAATAAATCTTCTGGTTAAGCATACTTATAGTGACTATTAGTCACTAAATAGATTCTATTAGTTAGTATTTAGTTTGATTTTATTTCACAGTTTAATTGCATCCGCTCTATATTTTTATTGCAAACAGTTTCTTATACCCAGTCTCCTATTCCATATCATCTTGCGTTAATCTAAATGGCAGCTGGTGTCTAAGACTGGCAGCTGGTGATTAAGACTGAACACCGGTTTTGCTTACTTTATAGCATTTTTGCTTTGCTTTTATTAATTTTAATTGCTGATGGGGCAAAAGGAATCTTTTATGGTACACATAAGTTATAAGTAAGAGTTAATTACCGAGAACGGAGGCAATAAGCCATATACATCCCGAGGCTGCAGGCTTATTGCTGACTTTCAAGGTAATTAAGTATTTTATTTATCAATTTAGAAAGTTTTCTATCAAATGTTGCTCATTAAAAATGCGAACGGTCTATATATAGTTATTAACCGGGTTAATAACTATATATTGACCTCGCATTTATAATGAGGGTTATAACAAAAATAAAGCCTTGTGAATAACAAAGAAAACCATGTCAATTGAGAAATAATTTTTCAATTTAAAGGTATATTTCAGAACATATTTTAAAAAGGTAATTCGCAACATGACTCCATTTTGAAATCCAGCATGGAACTTTTGGCAATGCAACAAAAATGGTTCTGATTGGTTAATAGTAACCAGGAGTGCATGCGCAAGAACACCTGGGTTAGATCAGCTGGATCCGGCTTTTTATTCCCACGAGAAACTGACGATGGCTATCTAGTTGCTTACAGTACACAGAACATCAGGGTTAAATATCCATTCTTGTGCAGACTAGGTTTCTGATTGGCTTGACATTAGCTTGGCATTATTTTCAAATTCATTCTACGATTTGATTGGTTCTTGCAGTCAAGTTTGCAGCGGTTATAGTAGTCACACTGTTATAGTTTTTATTTTGTGATAAATAGTCACCTTCACTCAACCAGCTAGAACACTAAAATGCATATCAAGGCAAAGATAACAACAAATACACAAGAGAAAGCAAGAACAAAATCAAGTAGAATGACAAGCTGTTTCTTGTGTATTTGCTTTGCACTAAACTTTTTTCTTTTGTTGCAGCGAAGTTTTTGCTGCTGACGAGTAGTTTTGCTGGCTCAAACGAATCACATGTTCAGAAGTCGATAATGATGGATGAGGTGAAAGAAGTAAGGTCATGAGATTTTAACTGTGGGACTAACACCAATCAAGGCCACCCAGAGATTAGTAAATTAGGTCTATTTGTTACATTCAAAGATCTCATGACTTTACTTTTAGTGGTAAAACCACTGAAAATCGTATTAGATAAACGACGAAACGAGATTGTAGACACACGTGCGCTTTATCGTTTCCATATGCAAATATTGTGATAGACGATTCATGTGCGCATTTTGGTTTCTATTCATCATGATGACAGTAAACTGGCTTTCACGGCACTGTTCCAGAGGGATTTTTTCTGCGGATGTACTGACTGAGTAGATCAGACAAAAACCGGTTCGGAAAATAGGATTACAGTGAAACCCCTCTATACCGGACCCTCAGTATACCGGAATTCTCTCTAAACCGGACAAAAGTTTTGGTCCGGAAATTTTTCCCATATATCTTTTGTAAAATAAACCTCAGTAAACCGGAACCTCTCTATTCCGGAAACCGGAAGAAAATTTTGGTACCAAACGCTATTTAACAATAGAATTCAACCCCACTAGTCCGGAAGAACGTACACTTGTTTCGGAACTACCGTCACAAGCGTATTTGCGGGTGTGTAAATTGAGTCTACAGGGACAGCTTCTAAACTCACAAAATCATCGAACATTTTCTTTAAATAGTAAATCTTGTTCACAAATAGACATATAAAG